TAGAAACAAGCACTTCTGTGTCATTGGATTTCACAATATAGCATGAAAGTCTAGATTTTACAGAGACTTTAACAATACATGTTAAACAGTTTAATTAAAAGTGTTTTTTTTTTTCTTCCTACGTAGGTATCCAAACTGCAGTTCTTAGATGGAGTCCATATTTTAGCAAATTGTTACAGGTTTTAAAAACAGAGCCGTCTCTCCAGCCCTTAAGAACATTAACGTCTTAAACTACAACTAATTACATCTTTTCACAGCCCTGAAATGCATTATTCAAACATTAAGACAGCTCGTCAAAACTAAGAAACAACTAAGGCTCGTCTACAGACATCCATGTTCCTTTACCAAAGCCAGGCCTCTTTCACCCTGATAGTAACTAAAGGTAGTTGCTTCCTTCCACCCTTTCTTTTAAAGGGTTTATTTTTACTATCCTTAGTGTGTGTATGTGTGTGTGTGTGTGTGTGTGTGTGTATGTGTGTATGTCTGTGTCTCTGTATGTCTGTGTGTGTGTGTGTGTAGTCATATGTGTACTCGTGTGTCTGTGTGTGTGTATAGCTGTGTGAAAATGCACATGTCTGCAGAGATCAGAGGACAAATTTTAGCAGTGGTTCTCTCCTGAAACGGAGCTGAGTTTCCAGGCAAGGTTGCTGGGATTACAGGTATGTCAACACTCTTGGCAGCAGAAAACAAAATATTCAGAAGTATACATTTTAAAGGGTGTATAATAAGCATATATTAAAGATTTAAAGAAATTTAAGTGGCTCTATGAGTCAATATTGTTAAGAAATCAATTCTCCCCAAACAGACATAGATTCAAGGCAACTAAAAGTAAAATTTAATCAGGAATTGTGATAGAAATAACACTGATAATAGCTTTCAAGAAGATGAGCAAAGTTAGCGGTATTATCCAATTCTATACTTATCAAAAAGATACAGTAATCAAATTAGCTTGATACCAGTATAAATAAATAATGGATCAATGAAACATAATACAGCTTTCAAAAGTATATTCAAATTTATAGTGAGTTGATTTCCAGCAAATGGACAAAAACAATTCACTGTAAAAGGGGTATTTTCTAAAATGGTATGTATAAGAGCCACGGTCCAACATATATTAACTGTGCATAATGGGTTTCACTGCGATGTTTTCATACATGCATGTAATATATTTTGATCCTCATCTCCTTTTTTTTTCCCTTCCACTCCCACCATTTCCTGCCCTTTTCCAACCAGTCTCTCTTGTGCTTTCATATCTTTTTTTTGGTTTTCGGTTTTGATGACTCAGTGAATTTAATAAGGGTTGCCCTACAGGAGGATGGATGAGGAGGGGCTCTCTACAGGAGCGTGGGCATCATGCCAATGACTGCACCTTAGAAGAAAATGTCTCTCCATCCACTTTGTTTTTCAGTCTCAATTTACAGTCTTTGCTCAGCGTTGTTCTTTTTATAAATGCTTAAAAAAAAAAAAAAAACACACACACAAAACCAATTTTGAATAGCCAGTTTTTCAGCATAAGAATTTAATGCACAGAAGAGGGCATGGGCCCACAGACCATGAGCTGTATTCTATGCACAGATACATCTTATTCGGCTTGAATTTTTTTTTTTCAAAAATTAGGAAAACGTTTATAACATTAAAAATAGGCCATTTATTAAACTCTAGACTGGGTATCTAGACTGTTGAAATGTCAGGTGTGGAAAAAGCCCACACTCACCCTTCCTGGGAAGAGCACTGGAGGCGCTACAGGCACTTGAACAATGAGACACTCGCCGCTTGTTATTACAGAAGAGCACCTACAAGAATCACCATGGTGTGTGACAGGCACTGTGCCACAGATACTGCCATACAAATGGAAACAGGATAAGAAGGAGGCTGGGAAGGAGTGCTCAATTGTTAGGAAGAAAGGAGATAGCTTTAGCTGGGCAGCAGTAGAGCACTCCCTAGGAAGGCAGAGGCAAGTGGATCTCTGTGAGTTCAAGTTCTAGGACAGCCAGGACTACATAGTGAAACCCTGCTCGAAAGAACAAAACAATAACAACGGACAGCTTTGGGAAAGCATTCACTCAGATGCACTTTAAGAGAAAGTTTCTGCCTGGAAAATGAGACACAGAGGACACTCGGTCAGAGGCAGCAGTGTGGTCAAGGTTTATAAAGGGTCATAAACTGAGGCCATAAGTAGATGTATTATAATAGAAATCATTACACTGTAGCATAAGGCATTTTCCTCAGAAAGAAATGGTATGCCTCAAGAAACCAAAACAAATGGGAAGGATTCTTGCTTTACAAGAATAAAGTTTTGGTTTTTCTGTTTTTATTTTTTCCTCATGAATCAGTATTCTCGTGTCTTCAAGTAGACTACTATGGCTCAATCAAGGAGGGAGAAGAATCAAAATTAATATTACATGCTACTTGACTCTGACTTTCACCACAATCTTAGGAGTTCTTTGAAGCCAGGAGTGGTAGTGCAAGCCTTTAATCCCAGCACTCAGGAAGCAGAAGTGAGCAGATTTCTGTGAGTTTGAGGCCAGCTCAGTCTGCACAATGAGTTCCAGGACACCCAGTCTTAGTAGAGAGACCCTGTCTCAAAACAAACAAAAATGCTCTTTGGGGGGAAAAAAATCTGTTATAAACAACTTTCTCTTTAAAACTTCAACATAAACCATTGAAATATTTAGCAAGAAATTAAATAAGATTAGCATCTGAAACACCTCTGATAATAGTGCTAAGGATGAAATAAAGAACTGTACCAGAAGGAAAATAGGAACATTTAGTTGCAAAAAAAAAAAATCCAAGAACTGTTAGGTCTGGGTAAAAAGAGCAGAGATATTCAAATATGTGCCAAGTAATCTGCTATGTCCCAATTTGAGAACAAGAAGATAAAGTCAAGAGAGGGTAGAGGGGTGCATCCATGGTTAAGAGCACTTGCTGCTCTTGCAGAGGACCTGGATTAAGCTCAGCCTGTCTTAACTTCCAGGATTCTGCATCCCCTTCGGGGTCCACAGTTACTAGACATCCATAAACAAAGGAAAAACACTCACATAAGATTGAGTGTTCATAAATAAGTCTTTATAAATGTAAGGGTGATTTAATTAAAAGGAATCACGCTTGATTCAAATGGGAGCTAACCTGGGTCTGGTGGCACAAGCCTGTAATCCAGCTACCCAGAAGGCTAAGAACGTTCAAGGCCTGCCTAGGATGCAAAGTGAGTTCAAGGGCTGCCTATGTGGAAAACTTCCTGAGACCTTCTCACAAACAAAAATAAGCCAGCTGTGGTGGCACACGCCTGTGATCCCAGCACTGGGGAGGCAAAAGCAGACTAGCTCTGTAAGTTCAAGGCCAGCCTGGTCTACAAAGAGAGTGTAGGAGAGGCAAAGCTATACACAGAGACCCTGTCTTGAAAAAAAAACAAAAAGCAAACAAACAAAAAACCATTAAAGGACTGGGAACACACCTTTCCAGTAAAGCACTTGCTTAGCATATACTAGGAATGGGAAAAAAAGAAAAAACATAGAGAGGGAAATAAAATTTTTGTAAAAAATTAAACCTGGAAATAACCTGAATAATAACACATAGAAATGGTTTAAACTTAGAATACAGAGCTGGAGAGAGGTTCAGTAGTTAAGAGAACTGGTTACTCTTTTGGAAGATGCTGACTCAATTCATAGCACCCACATGCCTTCTCAGAACTATCTATATAACCCAGTTCCAGAAGACCTGATGCTTTCTTCTGGCTTCCATGGGGCAGGCACACACATGGTTCACAAAACAGACTTGCAAGCAAAACACCCATACATATAAAATAAATACCACTTAACAACAACCAAAAAAACAGAATACAACCATAATAGCTCCTCTCCAATGAGATAAGTATTGAGAGAGCAAACAAAATGTTAAAGAGGTGTAATGGAAAAAAATGCAACGGGCTGTGGTTGTGACTACTTCTTGAGTGCCGGTCCCAGATGATTTACTACAAGTAGATTAAAAAAAAAAAAAAAAAAAAAAAAAAAAAAACAGAACCATTCCTGAATGCCTTTATAAACAATAACAACAACAACAAAACCTATTACCACTACACTAAAGTCAATTTCAAAAGTTGCTAAGTTTGGCAATTTTGCAGTGAGATCCAGATTTCGAAATCCCTCAATAGAATCAAGACATGCAAGAATGGCAAACAGGGCCATTAAGCCAGTATAACTGCTGAGTGGCAAATGGAAACAAGTTTGTTAACTGTTCATTGCTGCTAGCTATGTAATAAATTGTGTAATTTCACTAATGTTACTTTTTTGTCCTTTTTTTTGGGGGGGGACCTGGTGTGTGTGTGTGTGTCTGTGTGTGTGTGTATGTGTGTGTTGTCTGTGTGTCTGTGTGTGTCTGTGGGGGGGGGTGTTGGTGTGTGTGTGTGTCTGACTCTGCAGTCTTGTTAGCTGAGTACCCAGGTTAGCTGGAACAATGTACAGGTGGCACAGCTCACCAGTGATAATGAACTCTCAAGAGACACAGAAGGTAGAAACACAATGGTGAAAAGGCTACAAAACCGCAAATGGAACCATTCTGCAATTATGACTCTTTATTTAAATGATAAAGATCACAATTAATATTAAACATAAAATAAACTCTTAAGGCCTTCAACGGAGAATGAGAAGTTACCAAAACATTTTTATGACCAAAAAGTCTTCAGACTTTAGTAGTAGCACTAGACTGTGAAGCCATATCCAGTGAAACATTAAATGCTAATTACTATTGCCAAATAGCGGGCTGTAAATTATCAAACTCCCCTTTGCAACATCAGAAAAGGATTGTTACAACTTTCTGAGTTGCCAAACCTTGTACACACACACACACACACACACACACACACACACACACACACACAAAGACATTCTAAAAGAAGATGTACATGACCTTGTAGTTACCTAGTTTTTAAAAATGAGATTATCGTTATGTAGGGCACAATATGTGCTTACAGAAAGGAAAACAAAATTGGGGTGCAGAAGTATTACCTGAGGGCAGGAAATTCAGACAAAGGGTCCCTATTCCTGGTGAGAGCAAGCAGTCAGCTGCCAGGGTCTCTTAGACTCTTCTGGGACTCACTTGGGTGATTGTGCAATTCACAGCACACCAATCTCCACCACAGCCAGCAGGGAACGCTGCAGGGAATGGGGACACAGGGGACACAAAAGGGGGCAAGTTCAAGGGAAGGAAGGAAGAGGAGTGAAATATTCAGCTGTGATGTGCTTACAAAAACACAGTTGTATCTCACACCATATTACCTAAGGCAGACACTGCTCACAACTGAAAACAAGTTAACCATTTACGAATTCTTCACCCTCTTCACTCTGCTGTGTTATGTCCATTTTTCTAATGTACATAAAAACAATAACAGAGATAGCTATGTAGAATAAAAGTTATAGAAAGGCCAAACTGAATAATTTAACATTAAATAAATTCAGTCACTCTACAAAAAACAAGCAACCCACAAATAAAAATTAGCACAACAATTTAACTGCCCAAATCAGTGAAAACTGTTATTTTCAAGTCAAAATACTGAAGCAGTGTTTCCTATGAAAAATCATCCAGTCTAGTGTGGTGGCTCACATGTGTACTCAGGGAACTGCTGTGAGGTCCAGACCAGTCTGAGCTACAAAGTGTGATCCAGGCCAGCCTAAGTATGGTCCTATGGTACTCGACCCTGCCTCTTAAGTGAAAAAGACAGAAGAAAAGGAGAGAGGGAAGAAGAGAGAGGAAAAGAAGAAAAATATCACAAAACAGAGAATGTTCCAGTAATGAACTCTACCTGTATATCCAAGTATATTAAAGGGTCTAGAAAAATACATCAACAGTTAAGAACACTGACTACTCTTCCAGAGGACCAGGTTTATTTCCAACACCTACAAAATGGCTCATAAGTGTCTGTAACACCAGTTCCAGGGAATCTGACACCCTCTTCTGACCTCCAGGACTACCTCAGGTAAGTGCAGACAAAACATTCATAAACATAAAAATAAATTAAATCTCAAAAAAATTTAAAAACCAAAAGTATATTAAAGAAACAATGTTATTGACCCAAAAATTTAATCTAAATTCTCTGAATGTCAATTTTTTAAAACCTACCAAAAAGGTGCTAAAAGCAAGCAATTTATATCCAATGTGCTTTTTAGAGGTCAAAGTAGTCTGAATTTTAAAAATTTATCTGTCTTGCTTTGTCTCTGTCTCTCTGTGTGTGCGTGCACATGTGTCTGTCTGTCTGTCTGTCTACATGAATAGGCACTACATGTTTATCTGGTACCTACAGAGGCCAGAAGAGGGTGTCAGATCCCCTCAAACTGGAATTAAGGATGGTTGTGAACCACTAGGGATGCTGGGAACTAAAAAGTGTTTCTCTGCATAAACAGCAGGTGACAACTGCTGAGCCATCTCTAGACCCTTGTATAAACTTATTTCTCTGGGCTAGTAAATGTGTTTCTGGACAACTTTTGCATTCCATCTCTATCACTGAAGCTAAACCACAACCAGTCAGTGGCCTGGAACATCAGGGTATTCTGCCCTTTTGATAAATAGAATGCAAACTACAGAACACAACAACAAAAGAGTTGTTTTAATATACATACATACATACACACACAAACAAATAAAAGCCAAACAAGTCTTAAAAGTGAATATCACTAAAGACTAGCTTCTTTAAAACTGCCCACAGGAAGCCAGGAGGAAGTGGTGAACACCAAGTGGTAATCCCAGCACTTGGGAGACAGAGGAAAGTGGATCTCTGTAAGTTCAAGGCCAGCCCAGTCTACAGAGTGAGTTCCTTGACAGCCAAAGCTACACACAGTGAAACCCTGTCTCGAAAAACAAAACAAAGACAAGAAAAAAAAAAAAAACCTGCCCACAGGAAATACACTTACAAAATGAAGCCTGATTAAGATGATCTTTCCTAAAGGAATGCATACAACCTAGTTTCAGGAAGAAGGAGAAAAATGAAGGTGAAGGGATACCATAAGCCAAATGGATGGCCTCAACAAACTTCAACTCACAATTCATCCTGTAATAATCAACTCTGCAGAAACCAAAAGATAACCACACAGAAGCACTTCCACTGTTAATGCACGGTCTAAATCGGGTCATAAATTTAAAAGGGAGGGCATTTCCATTTCATAAAGGACATTGATGCAAATTAGCATATTCAAAACCAAACTCTGGATCTCTGATAGTCTGTTCCTCCAGCAGTCATATCTAATTTAGATAATGACAGTTCCATCTTTTCGGTGGCATCCATTACTGCTTTTTTTTTTTTTTGAATTTTATTTTTTTCTTATCAGTTACATTTTATTAACTCTGTATCCTAGCCCTGTCCCGATCCCTCATTCCCTCCCAGTCCCTCCCTCCCTCCCTCATCTCCATGTGCCCCTTGCCAAGTCCACTGATAGGGGGGACCTCCTCCCCATTCATCTGATCCTGTTTTATCAGGTATCTTCAAGACAAAAGGGCCGAGAAAGAAATTAGGGAAACAATACCCTTCACAATAGCCACTAATAACATAAATTACCTTGGGGTGACACTAACCAAGCAAGTGAAAGACCTGTTTGAGAAAAACTTCAAGTCTCTGAAGAAAGAAATTGAAGAAGATCTCAGAAGATGGAAAGATCTCCCGTGCTCATGGATTGGCAGGATTAACATTGTGAAAATGGCCATTATTGCTCTTAAGAGAACTCTTAATCTATATCTTACCTGTTAGTCAATTCTGGCTCTACCTTCAAAGTACATCTAGAAACTGACTCTCAGCAACTCCAAAGCAACTACTTTGCTAATATTTTTTTCACTTGAATAGTTAACTATCTTCATTGACCTTTTGTTCTTCTCTTGTCCTGTTTCTTACATAGTTGCCAGAGTAATTCTTGGCTAAAAACATTCCAGTGGTTTCTAACTTCACTTCAGTGTAAAAGCCAGTCATTACCAGTTTCCATGTTGATACTGGATATAGAGAAACTTTGGCCCAGGAATTATATAAATAAAACCAGAAGCTAAGGGCTGAAGAGACGGCTCACTGTTAAGAGGATGTGCTGCTCTTCCAGAGGACCTGGGTTTGGTTCTTAAGACCCACAGGCAGGACAGAAATTCCTGGTGGGTAACAGGTTTTAGAGATGGAGGGCATGAGAGCCCATGCCTTCTACCTAGGCTGTGCTGGCATCTAACTCAAAAAAGAGTCAGGAATGACCTCGACCTTCCTGAGTTTCCTTCTCCATATGACATGTACTAGGATTACAGGCATGTACTACCATGTCTCCCCATTTCAAATGTGAAGCCCTAGCACATTAGCCAAGCATTCTATGCCTGAGGTTGATGAACACACAGCCTTTGTCCCATGAAGGTCTGCATTTGTACTTCAACATGATCTGGACTTTGTGGTTTGCCACTGGGGGATCAAGCCCAGTGCGTCAAGCATCCCAAACAAGCTCCTCACCACTGAGGGACACTGTCCCCAGCCTTAGCCTGTGTTGTCTTTCCTATTCCACTCTACTTCACCTCAATGTAAGCCTCAGCATATTTCTTTTTTGTATTTATTATTATTTATTACAATTTATTCACTTTGTATCCCACTGTACGCCCACCATCTCCTCACTCTTACCCATCCTGCCTCTTCTCCCCCTATGCCACCTATATCCACTGATAAGGCCGGGCGTCCTCCCCTTTTAGCTGATCCTAGCCTATCAGATCTCATCAAGGCTGGCTGCATCATCTTCCTTTGTGGCCTAGCAAAGCAGCATCCCAAAAGGGGAGGTGTCAAAGAGCCAGCCGCTGAGTTCATGTCAGAGACAGCCACTGATCCCCTTACTAGGGTACCCACATGGTACCTGAGCAGCCTACAGGCTTCATCTGAGCAGGTCTAGGTCCTCTCCATGCACGGTCCTTGGTTGCAGTATCGGTCTCTGCAGGCCCAGATGTACTATAGAGCAAGAGTAATAAAAACGGCATGATACTGGCATAGAAACAGACTGGTGGATCAATGGGATTGAATTGAAGACCCAGAAATAAACCCAGAAATAGACCCAGAAAATGCAAAAACAACCCTGAGATTCCACCTTACACCCATCACAATGGCTAAGATAAAAAACTCAAGGGATGACACATGCTGGAGAGGTTGTGGAGAAAGAGGAACCCTTCTCCATTGCTGGTAGGAATGCAACCTTGTACAACCACTTTGGAAATCAATCTGGCACCATCTCAGAAAATTAGGAATAGTGTTACCTCAAGATCCAGCTATACCACTCCTGGGCATATATCCGAAAGATGCTCAGCCTCAGCATATTTCAAAATGACAGGCAAGCTACCATCTTCAGGGTTGTTTGCGTTTGTTCCCATACTCAGGACTAACTATGAACCCCATCCCTGTCTTCCTACCCACTTTCTGTTACTTTTTTAAACTGTACTTAACACATACCATTACATGTTTCACTGTTTACTATTTATTAATTACCCCCTTCCTCTAATTAAAATGAAAACACTGTGAGTGTGAGGGTTTCTATTTTTTCTCATTGCTGCGTTCTCAGTATTTCACATAAAGTAGTCACTCAAAAAAAAAAAAAAACTATATATATAGCTAATATCAACTAGGGATATTTTTATGGTATTAAAATGAATACCATAAAAAAAAAACTTCCTAGACCAGAAAAAAATATGATCAATTAAAATAATGGTTGCATCTGTCATGTTCAACATGTGGTATATAGATAAGTGCTCAGAACCTAAAACACCATATTCCTACAAATTGTCAGGCTTTATCACAAAGTGTGGGTCAGGCTTGAGGATCAGGCCTGAGTTCACAGCACTTGGAAGTCAGAGTCCCAAGCAAGGGCTGATGTGATTGACGGCTCAGTGAGTAAGGATGCCACCAAACTGATGACCTGCGTTCTGCTTCCACGACCCACATGAAAGAAACCCAACTCCCACAAGCTGTCCTCTAACTCCACATGCACACCATGGCTTGCATGCACCCTACACACAATAAATACTTTAAAAGAAACAAACGTTTAGAGTTGCAAGCAAGGCTGTGCTACATAGCAAGACCTTGCCTCAAAACAAACAACAAGCATGTGAAAACTCAGTGTCTGAATAGTGGTATAATTATCTGAGAAAGTAACTTTGTGTACATGTTTGTATATGGATACACATGTATGCACACAGATGTGGAGGCCAGAGGTTATCACTCTCATTTTAACTTTTGAGATAGACCATCTCACTAAACCTGGAGTTCACCAATTCAGGTAGACTAGCAGGACAGCAAGCTCTAGAGACCCTCCTGTCTCCACCTTCCCAGCCCTGGGATTAAAGACATATGCTGCTGCATGGGGCTTTATGTGGATGGGATTCAGACTTAGGTCCTCATGGCTGTGCAGCAAGCACTTTACCCACAAGCCTACAATCACCCTTTTAAACGGTCCCTTCCCTTAGTTTAAAAACAGCTCATACTAAGACATTCGGGTTGGCTCTCCTTCTTCTATCCTGGCAGCTGGCCTGAACCCAGACCTTTCCAGAGCAGCAGACAATTATAAGGTTCTGAAGGATAGCAGCATCCCTTCAATACATCAGTTTTCAACATGTTACTCCAAGACTCTTTATAGATGTTGTATTTCCTGGACCTAGACTCCATAAACAAGACTTCTATCACATCCTTTACTAGCTGGAATTACTTATTAGCAGCCACCCATCTCCAGGTATGAAGTTCAATTTCCTTAACATAGCAAATGAGGCCCATGAAAAGCTTTGGGGCAGGCTTTGGGGTTTTAAAAGTCCATGTTATTCCCACTTAGCACTTTCTCTGCCTATTGCTTGTGGATCAGAGGCCAGCTCTCAAGTTCCCCGACATGACAGTCATGGAATCACCCTCTGGAAATGTAAGCCCCCAGTTAAATAGTTTCTCTTATTAAAAGTTTCCTTGGTCATCGTGTCTTCACAGCAATAGAAAGGATACTAAGGTGCTGTCACCACAAATTGATCTATGGCTAGCTAGAACTGGACCATAAAGATTTTCTCTCCCAATAACTTAAAATTTGGCAGGAAAGATCAGAGAGTAATAGTCTTAAGAAATAGTTCAATACCCCAAACTTAGAATTTTCAACCAGGAGCAGTTTTATGCCTTGGGGAACTTTTGGAAATCCCTAGAAATATTAAAAACACCACACTGGGCAGATTAGTCCTCCATGGCAAAGAACTGTCCAGTCTAAGATCTGAAGCTAACAGGCTCTGCTCTAAAATCAAGGCCCAAGACCTCTTTCAGGGAGAGTCAAAGGAGCCTGGCTTCCGCCCATCTCAGGGTTTGTGGTTAGATCTTCCTCTGAATCTGTGACCCACCCAACAGCTTCAACTACATTTCCCTTTTTACTTAAATAGACACATGTCTGTTGACTGCAGACAAAATAACCTTAGCAAAGCTATCTAGCTCAAGCATTTGATAAACATCTACATATTTTAAACCAGCTCCTCAGCTGCTGAAGTTGGAATGGATGAGTTTTTCTTTTAACGTTCTGAGCTGTACAAGATCGCGTCTGGCAGCTCCTGGCCTCTACTTACCAGGTGACAACCTTCCAAGTCACAAGAATCAAAACCATGGCCAAATGTCCTCGGAGGGACACAGTGTCAGAGGCTGATAACCACTGCTTCAAACAGGATGAAGACTCCACCTCATTAGGTACAGCCTACCAGGCAAACTCCTGATCTCCAGAGACCCCTGTGTGTAACATACTGTGTCCTGAGGGTAAGGGACAGGAAGCGGAGCATTTGTATTCAGATCTTTATCATCACTTTTCAGATCCTAGCTTAAGTAACTGTGTATCTTTTGTCCTTGCACATAAACCTACACTCCTGTACACAGAGACACAGAGTAACAAACGGAAAGCTCTAAAGGTGAAATGAAAGGTAGTTCCTGTTCCTTTTTCCTTTCTTATATTTGTTTGAGCATTTGAAAGAACCTCTTATTTCCTTATGGAAGGAAAAAAAAAAGATTCCCCTTTAAGTACCATCAACACATGTCCTGTTCTAGTCTAAAAAATCTAAGTAATTCCTCCTTAAGAGGCTTTTCCTGTTTTGTTTCTCTTTTAAAATATACGACTTCTAACCTCTTCCTCTCTCTTCACACCCCCATAGTTGGTTCAGATCAGTCAAGTATACAAAGTTTTCATTAATGCAAAAGGCATTTAGATAATAATACTCAAACCAGTCAGTATTTACTTGAAGCATAAATTATGTGTCAATCTTTTATAAAACAATTCCTCTTCCACACTGTTCCTATATGCCAGCTCCAAAGTACCGCTCAGCCTCAAGTGTTACTAGCTTTAATCTTAAAATCTTAAAGTTCTTTTAGAGTGAGCATTCTATTTTTCTAGACAGTAGACAAACTTCTTCCTTCCTGGAAGAGCCTCTACGAGGAGTGCCTGTAAGGACCTGGACATTTTCCTAATTCTTCTTCTCTATGGCAGGACAGGTACTAACCCCTCCCCAATGGATTCCAGTGTTCCAGGCCCGCCTCACACTCACTTATGTTAAGGATGGTGACCTTGAATGAATTACCAGCCTCCACCTGAGTGCTGAGACTACAGAATTCTGCCATCACACACTGTTTATAAGGTGTTAGGGACTGAACCCAGGGTGTCCTACCTGGTGGTCCAGCACTGTACAGAGCCTAGCAAACTAAGTTCCATCTCCAGAACACAGACGGTGGTAGGTGAGAACCAACCTCTGCAAGTTGTCCCCAGACTTCCATACAAAGGCTGGCTCCCATGCCTATGTGCACACTGGGCACACACAGTAAGCAAATGTAAAAGTATAATACTCTTTAAAAACAATAAACTGCCAATGATTTCGCCATTAAAAAGGAAGAAAATGCTTTAGAATGTTTTAGAAACTTTGATTTAAAAAGAAACGCTCATTACTATTTCATGTAAGAAATCATGCCGATTATAAAGTAATCCTAAGGACTTAACTCTAAGTATGTGGATGTTATCTATGTGATAAAGTAAGCCATTACATTCCTGCTCTTAAGAGTTCTTCCCAAATGGACGTATATGAGAGAATTAAAGGATAATGCCCTAAGGCACTTATCGATTGAATTAAATTTTCTTCTAGGCATACAGAATGAGTGGTACAGTACCATTATCCTTAGGAGAGAAATAGGCAATCAAATCATTGTCTATGGATCTGAATTATTTTATAGAACTAGATATAGGAGAGGGTAAAGTGTATCTCATATGAATCGGATTTAAACTAAGTAAAAGACATTATTTTAAAGAAATAAAAGTTTCTTTCAAATTAAGATGGCTCAGTATTGCACTATCTATACAATTTTAAAGGTAGCACAGACCTGTAATCACAGTACTCAGGAAGTTAAGGGAGACACTGAGCTTGAGGATAGACTGGGATTTGTCAAGAGTTACAGGATAGCCTGAGCTACATAACCTATTTCAAACACACACACACACACACACACACACACACACACACACACACTTTCTAATTGGTGGTATTAAGAACCAAATACATGGTCTCAAACTTTGCTATAGTTCGATAGTTTATGCATATACACTATTTGTATTAAATTTTATTCAATACAATATCAGAGAAATATCTGCTGAATCACAATATTTTTTTTGTTCAATATGTTCTAATGTATCACCTGAATATATACATAAATAAATTCGGAGAATGAAGACTTATGTTTACTGCACAAGTCTATCATTATACCCGAGTAACTTCCTTTAATCAGTTAAGAGCATTCATTAACTTACAAATAACAGAGAAGAGAAAGAGATCCTAACCAAGAGCTTTGAACTCCCTATCACCAACTTGGAACATTTAGCCTGTGTCTTGAGACAAATATGGAGAAGCCAAGAGCAGTCACAAACTGCCAGTTCACTGAGTCATGTTTCTGACTAAAACTGTTATGAAATGGAAAGAATGACACGTCTGAGGTTTAAACAGAGACGTTAACTCCTTGAATTAAAGGGTCTCGGAAACAAAAATCAGAAAACTCCTCAGCAAGAACGGATGCTGGACTGAACCGACTCCATCAAGAACTTGCAAAGCCGAGAACTCTGCTTATTTACCTAAAACAAATCCGAACTGTGCAAACAAGCACACCCTCCCGAGCCCAGGCGCGGGGACGGCAGGTAGGGGCTCGGTGAGCAATCCCAAGGTTAACGTTTCACCTGTAAGGCAGCCTCAGCCCAACAGTCCACACACACACACCGGTAGCCTCGGCTAACGGCACCGCTCTGCTCCGCGCCCCGGGAGCTTCCGAACCCGACCGGGTCCCAGCCCAGGCCCCCGGCTCCGGGGCGACGCCGGGGACGTCCCCAGCCTCGGCGCAGGGGCGGCCCCCGACGGAGACCCCGGCCCGTCGCCGCCCTCCGCGTGACCCGCGGAGCCGCTCGGGGACGCCACCGGGCGGCGGCGGGAGAGCCGGGACCCGCGGCGTGTACACCCGGCCCCGGCGGAGGGGACCGGCCAGCGCGCTCGCTGACCTGGAGAGGTGCTTCAGGATCTGTTTCTTGATGATGCCAGCCATGGTGCCTGCGGGGCTCGAGCGCCGCTCTCTCGCCGTTCCTCACAGCCTCCTCTCTTCCTGGCGGCCTCCTCTCCGTCCCGCCTCACCGGGGCCGGCGGAGAGGCGCCGGAGCGCTCACTCGCAGGAGAGACTCGAGGCCCTGGCCGAGGCCACAGCCGCCGCTGAGAGCCCGAAGCATGACGCTTAGGCCGCCGCGGCAGCCGCCAGCGCCATCTTGGCTGCAGCATCACCTAAGAGACCGGGGGCGGGGAGAGGAGTCGGGGGCGGAGCGAGCCTGAGGTGGGCGGGGCCATCTCGAGGTGGGCCGGACCTGGGGGAGTTAGGGCCTCTTCAGCCCTGCCCACTTCGGACTCCCACCAGGTCCTCTGCCGCCCCATAGTAGGATCCTGGACTCCCATGCCCAGGACCTCTTTGGGCTTTTATCCTTCCTCATCTCTGCCTAGTCTTGCCTGTGCCTCTGTCACTGGCGTTCTCTTTTCACTTCTTCATTTCCTCCGAACTCAGCTTTCTGCTCCACAAATAGCTCTTGCTCGCGTTGCTCTTTTGACCATCTCGGTTTATTAACTCGCTTTCTTTTCTTTTGCCAAGATCCTTCCGTTAGCTAAAGGATATAATTTAATCTTTCCATTAGTTATTCTAACCCTAAAGGAAGTAAAATTGACATTCATGTCATGTTTAACAGAATTTATCTAAAGAGTTAGAAATTATTAAATCGCCGGGCGGTGGAGGCACAAACCTTTAATCCCAGCACTCGGGAGGCAGAGGCAGGTGGATCTCTCAGTTCGAGGTCAGCCTGTAACACGACAGCCAAGGCTGCACAGAGAAACCCTGTCTCGAAAAACCAATAAGGAAAAAAAGAAAAACAGCAAGTCTAGAGCCAATGAAGTGGCTCAGCCAGAAAAAGCCCTTGTCATGCAAGCCTGATGACCTGAGCTTGACCAAATCATATGGCGGAATGAACTGATTCTGAAAGTTATTCTCTTCTCCAGTTTCCTGTCCCTACACACACACACACACACACACACACACACACACACACACACACACACGCGCGCGCGCGCGCATTCGTGCGCTTACATATTTTTAAATGGAATGGCCAAATTGAAGTCCTGGTTCTAGTATTTTTCTAGCTGTGTTAACCTGGAAAGGTCGTTTTCACTTTTATTTTCACTTTGTGTGTGTGAACATATGACTTTGGCACACAAGTGGAGGTCAGAGAACAGCCCTGGGGGCCTCAGGCCTTGCCTCTTTCTGGCTCTTCATTAACAGCTGCTCCTATACTCCAGGTCAGCTGGCTCTCCCAGGAATCTCTTGTTGGTCTTTTGTTGCCTCTCCCATTTTGCCTAAAGCATGCTGGTATTAAATACCTGGTTTTATGTGGATTCCAGAGATTCAAATTCAAGTCCTTGTGCTTGTACGAAAAGTGTATTGTCTGCTAAGCCAGCTCACCCAGCCAGTTAGCCTCATTTTTAACAATCTTTAAAAGATAGTGCCCTAGTGGGGTACTGTTGGTGTGTCTGGGCCATATTTGCTGGTCACCTATTGCAGAAACAGGTTTTGGGAAAAGATATAAATCACTAAAATGTTTCATAAATAGTTGGCAGAAAGACAGTGCAGCCATTTGAGGTGGGAAAAACCCATATTAAAGTTAATAATGCATAAAGCATGCAAGGCTAGCAAAGAAGAATTCGCTAACACCTAGGCTGTGTACGGATGAAAGCAATCTGAAATATTTGAAAGTAATTAAGCTGGGTGTGGTGACACCTAGGTCTGTAATCAGAGTACTTTGGGGACAGAGGCAAGAGGATTACTGTAAGTTTGAGGCCATCTTGATCTACATAGCAACAACCTCTATTTTAAAAAAGGAATCAAGTTTTAAGAAGTAACTACAAAGCAAAAATTGAACTACTTGGACATATGACCTTTAACAACTCATTATAAAAATGCCTGTCATGGGACTGACTCCTGCTTGGGGGCTGGCATGACAGTCATCTGTTGTACTTCAGAGGCTTCCTAGACTAGAGAAGGCCACCTAGAGCTGGCCATGTCCTGTCTCTGGCCAGGTGACTCATCCACACTCTGTACCCAGAACCCTGTTTTTCTCAGTCCCTGTGCTCAGTAAGATAGCATTCCATATCCCCAGGCTCAACCCTTTTCTTCAGCTGACCTACAGTTTCTTATCTTAAAAATAATTGTAGGTGGAAATCAGCTGTATTTACAGAAGGGATAAATGTTAAAAGCAATGTTTGATTGACAAATCAAAAGCTTGATGGGGGTGGGGTAAGTTGCTGAACCTCCTGCTTTGTCCTGATTATGAACTGTTAGAACAAACAAACATAGAGCAACAGAGCACAAGGAAGTTATATTCCTGAGGTGCCCGGCAGTCTCTGAGCACAATACAAACTGGATAGTCTAGTTGTACTTCAAACTGCCAACACCCACAGATATCTTCTCTGCGCTGGATTTCTTAGAAAGTCACAATAGCACTAATTATAGCAGTTCCTTGCTTGTATTAGAGGTTTGAGTTTACATGTACTCATAGCGCACACATGGGTATGTAAAAGTTAGGAAAGGATTGGTGGAAATTAATCTTTAGCATCTTTAACATTTTTTGGACCACTTTGATTTAAAAAACATATATCCACAAGAATACTTATATACAACTTATATTATGATTAATTGAGATATGCCTGTTCTATATGGACATATAGCCCCAATGTCAAATATAAGTTGGCTATGGTGTGGAAACTTAATTTTTAAAATTTGAGATGAGCTCTTCAGTAGTGGTGCCCGCCTGTAATCTCAGCAGTCAATAGGCAGAGGCAAGTGGATCTTTTTGAGTTTGTGGCCAGCCTGGTCACAAAGTGAGTTCCAAGGCAGCCAGGACTACACAGAATAAAAAACCTGTCTCAAAACAAATGAATAAATGAAAAAGTTTAAAAATGCATGATGGTATGTGCCTGTAATTCTAGCTACTAAGAAGGCAAGTTCAAGGCCAAAACTGAGCAAACTGGTGAGCTCTTGGCTCAACCAAACTAAAGGGTTAGGGATGCAGCTCAGTGATAGAATGCTATCCTCTGTACATAAGCCTCTGAGTTCATGCTCACAAAAAGAAAAAAGGAAAAGCTAAAGCTATTTGTATTTAAATATTGACAGTTAACAACTAGTCATTCTTTAATCAGCATTTTTTAAACTTACAGGAAGATATAGGTAATCCCTATACCTCAGCTAACTCAGATATGGATATATTCCAGAAAGGATTGTTTTCAAAATAAGCTAGGGGAAAAAATGAAATAAACTAGGGAGTTATAAAAAATACAGCTAAGATATAAAAACAATAAAAGAGTATGGATAATCAGCTTATCCAGTTGCCTAGGTTGTTGTACCTAAATAAATGTGTATGTAAATTTGAAAATTTCTGTATATAGAAAAAAAAAGGAAATTGTTGAAAGAGGAAAACTGTTACATTCTCTGCCTCTGTGCCACCCAGCCACAACTCAGTGTTTTTCCAAGACAAAAGTGGCCACAGAGCTATGTCTACAAAGGAAAAGAAATTGCACTTCCTCCTGCTGATACAGCTGGAAAGTATACGGGTTTGGGGACAGTTTATGAATAATCTAACAACCTGACTTGTTTTGAAGAATGAGGATATCTAATTAAGATGGCTTCATGTCCCTATAAGTCATAGCTAATCAGGACATTGAAGCAGAAGGACCACTTGAGGCCTGGAGTTTGAGGACAATGAGAGAGGGAGAGGGAAGAATGAGTAAGAGGGAAAGGAGAAGAGAGCAAGAACCAGGGTCGGGGAGAGGGAGGGAGAGAGAGGAAGAAGGAGGAAGGGAGGGAGAGAAAGACACGCCCTTGAAAATGGAAAAATAGTACATGGGTTGACGTTAACATTTAATAATATGCTATAAAACAAGGCCTTTAAAAATATCTGGGTCTTTCTGGTAGTGACAACCTCCCTACAAGGACACACCTCTTCAAAGGAACACCTCCATCTGTCTCCAGAAAGAACTGAAAAGTAGCTGCAGGTTCTGCCGCAGAGCCCCCACTCCTAGCTCAGGCTGCTGTGACGTCAGCACAGTCTTTAGTTCTGAGTAAGGCGTTCTTTCCTGATTTGTCTGCTCTGTTCTCTCTCAGCCTCTAAGAGCAGGAACAAGACCGACAGAAGGTCGTTCCTTTGGGAGGAAGCAGGAAAAAAAGCACCCTGAGATAAATAGAAAACCACCCCCCATAAACAAATTTTGAATATTAAAAAAAAAAATCTAGGGTTGTGTAAATGAAAAAGGTAAAAACCAGTCCTGCCCCCAAAGAGTGAACAACTTAGGGAATGGAAGTGTCAGTGTCACAGACCAAGACCTTGAGCTCTGTCACTTGACTGTAGCTCAAATGCTGCCTGAGACACTTTCTATTGTGTAAACAAGGGCAAGAATTTTTTTTTTTTTTTTTTTTTTGGAAAGTCTTTTCAGGCTTGCTATCTTACCTGTAGGAGATAATGGTATCTAACTTCTGTAATTTGTGAAGACTAAATGAGATTGTCCAAATCTTTTAACAACACAATGTTCCAAGTGTGTAGGAAACCTAGATGCTCGTGTTATTACTGTTCTTATCATTATTAGAAGGAAGCAAAGGAACACAAAGAACAGAAAGAGTCATTCAGAGAAGGATTTACAGTAGAGGTTGCTGGCTTTCCAGAAACCCAGGACAAGTCTCACTTGGTACCTGTGATTCCTCTAGCACCTTTGACCCTGCCCCTGCTCTCCATTCCAGGGGCTGGGCTTCCCTTTCCTTCCCCAAGCCTGATCCTTCAATGACCTAAGACATGTTAGCTGCATGGTCTCTTGGTCTTCTTGGTTGCTTGGCTAGCTCTACAAACTCTTCTCTCTTGTTGTCTCCCACCCCACCCCTACTCTCCTCTTATGGCCTGGTTCAGCGTATTTGCCTGGTACAGTCTGGACCCTCTGAGATGCCCCTGGCTGTTTTCTTATTCTTAACAAAAATCTTTCTCCCCAACCATAACTAGGACCGGTAGTGGTTTTCTTTTTTTTTTCATTCAGAGTTATTTTTTTAAATTTATTTTACATACATGTACACCTGCACGCCAGAAGAGGGCAACAGATCTCAGTATAGATGGTTGTGAGCCACAATGTGGTTGTTGGAAATTGAACTCAAGACCTCTGGAAGAGCAGACAGTGCTCTTC